CCCCAAAACCCCAAAACCCCAAAACCCCATCAAGCATATGGCGAAACTGTTTCTAATAATAAAATCAATATAAATAGATAAATAAAATAATTATAATGATATATTGATTTGAATAAACTCTAAAATAGTAAAAAAATTAATGTCTCATCTAAAACAGACAAAAAATCAAGCAAGTAATGATTCTTCAATTATAAATTTACTTAGATAACTTCCTGATTGGTTCTTCTCCTGTAAATAAAACCTTCTCCCATCATACTAACTATGTGACTAGTTTCTAGCCATATGATGTCAATCATAAGTACAACAAACTGCGATTCATCTAAAAACATGAGGATGACTCGCTTTCTAAACTCTTAAGAAGCAACGTGGATACAAACCTCAGTACCGATTAGATAGACCATAATAATTAAATGTATGCAACTAGCTTTAACAAAAGAGGTTTGCTTCACTAGGGCAAGCTCTAGAATCTGTATGCCGAGCCAATAAACTAATCTGAAACTGATGTATTTAGTAAGATTACACAAATTTGACTATTAATTATTCCCTATTTTAGAAATGAAGTCAAGAATCAGATCTAATAATCCAAACTACATTGTTGGCAAATCGATGGTTGAACTAAGGCAAACATCTCGCTAGCATTAATACCCTAAGTAGCCGTAGCATCAGGCAATTAATAGAACAAATAAAAATTACAGGTAGTTAAATGCCAGGTCACAATCATTTAGGGTTAATGATGTTACTGGACTCAATAGCCGAAATATCCTATTAAATTAGTTAAAATAAAGTGGTCATACTGGAGGAGAAGAGGGCAAAGTTGAGCCTCTAGTATCTTTTGCTGATATGGAATTGGTGAGCAAAGAGCAAGAGAAGCTCCATCAACACTCCCATGCAGACAGCTATTTGCCGATAATATAAGGCGATCTAAATCTCTCAAGGCATCATTTAGGCACCTTTTATACTACATATTCATCAAAGCTCTAAAATAAAAAGAAATCACATACTGAAGGTGCCTTTAGATAAACTGAGGACTAGAATAATATTTCTTAATATGAGGAGTTGTAGCAGAGGAGTATAATAAAGTACGGGGAATCTAAGTATCATAGCAACATTATCGATCCTCAACACCCACTTATCGGGTTTTAAGACCAACTTGATATGGATATTAGTGTTGATGAGGCAAAAGTAGATTTTCAAAAGACATAGACTCTGAGCTTTAGAAAAAGAAACGAAGACAAAAAGTAGCAAACCTAAGATCATAGAGAAGTTTATAACTTTAAGAACCAGCCCTCTAAAAAGCATCTAAACAAGCACTAAGAGAAAAGTCTTTAGCCAAAGCACATCTATGGGAACGCAACTAATCTGAATAAGATTTATATCGATAAATACTAGGCCTCTTAGATAAGCACTGACCGTAGTAAGATGTTTGATTCAAAGAAAGTAAGCACTATGAAAATGGAATCTCGAACCTCAGACATTTCAATGAAACTTCAAAACCTTAGCAAGATTAACCCAAATAGAGACAAAGCAATCGGTGATATAAACATTACAGTATACAAGGACCTCTTTTCTCAGAGATCTTAGCCAATAAACGACAAGTTAGATAGCAGCATCTCTCCAAACGCTTGGTATCCGTTTAATATGTATTCGAACATAGAAAACAGTCAGGCTTATGAAACTTCAAATCAAGTGCTACTCAGTCAAAACTAGCACCATCAAGCTAAAAATAACAAAATTCTCTAGGACTCTTCAAGATTGTTTAATAACTAAAGCTATCTTACATCCCATTAAATAAGTCAAATGCAGCCAATATCAAATGAGACTCAAGATAGATCTTAAAAAGAGCTACCTACTACCCTATCTATATAGCATGCTCATCTAATATAAAAGAATAATCAAATCATATCCAATAAAGACCAGCATATTAGTTCGAAAGGCAGTCAGAGAAGCATAATGGTCAATAAAAAGCACTCAGCAAAAACGGATGGAGCGATGTTTGATCTAGCTTAATATAAGAATAAAGTCTTTCATTCACTGAGTCAAGCTATAACAACTAATGAAGAACAGAAATATGATTTAGTAGAGTCTTTGAATTAAATACCTTAACCAGTCTAGTGCTTAGAGGAATCTTAGAAACAGTTGATTAAGCAAAATAATGATGAATAGATATCTCAAGCCTATAGATTTTCACAACTTCCTAATACATATATGGTTAACTCTGGAGATAACTAGGCAAGCTCTTTCAAATATCAAACTAGACAGAATAAGTAGAACTCATGTTAAAACACTAAGGCAAATTTAAATAAAAGGTACTTTATTTTCACGTTTTGTTAAACTTTATATAGTTTGGTAGATGCCAGGAAAAATAGAAGTCAAAAGAGTTTTCAGTTTAATAAATCTGCTGGAACTGGCAACGGGCTTGAAAAATAGCTGAGATCGTAAGAATTAATTCATATTTACTTTTTAATAGTTGGCTTTACGGGCATTACCATATTCAGCTCTAAAACTAAATTAAATAGCAGAGAGACATTCCAGCTTATGGAGAGATAGGAGGCATGCTAAACAGACCTGCTCCTATTCAGCACATACATTCGCAGTACTAATTTCAATCAAAACTGAAACATGATACCTCAGAACTGGACTAATTGAATCAAAGTCAATACTTCAAGATTAGAAACCTCAATAACTTAGACGAAGGTGGCAGCAATTAACTCATTAGCTAGAAAGACAAATTTAAGATTGAGGAAATGCGAAGAAAGAGCAATGTTGACCAAAGATAGCCATTCCTGATTAATTTGACGACTTCCCCTCCACAGGGTAAGATATAAAACTATGCTTCGAGAGAGGACTAGCAAAATATGTCTGCTAATATGGTATCGATATCTAGTGACAATCTAAACAAAATCAACTAAAGGCTATCTAAAGAAAATGATATGATTCAGACTCTGGATGGGAATCTGTATCTCTAGAATGGATTCTAGATCTTTGACAATTCACAACTAGGCGCAAGCAGTATCACTCCTACAATACATGTTAACTTTAATCAGTCTGCTGAGAAGCTCTAGACCTATTAAATTTACGCAAAGGAGCAGAATTTAGAGAGCCATCAAAATATCATTAAGTTGAATAATCAAAATCAAGTAGTCACCAACATATCTCCTGAAAAGCCTGTTAATCTCCAAAGAGATATCTTGAATTAAGCAACTAAGTAGCAATAGTGGCAGTCACCTTATTAAAAGCACAAGATAAGTACCAGACGAATAAATATAGCATAATTAAACGATAACAGTCTGTAATTGATTAGTAGCAGAGGTTCTAATGAATAAAATACCAATGAGACTACAGCAATTGCCGATCATCAGGCCATGATTTAATAAACAATCAGAGCTAATTGCTAAAAAATGAATCTGAAGAAGAAAATCTACAAGTCTCAAATGATCAAAATGCAAATTAAAGCAGAGAAAAATGAGCCTGAGAAAGGTACGAATTAACTCATGAGTTATGTCAAGTATGATACTAATAGTAAACATACTGAGCATGAAGATAAATCTCTTCAAATGACCTAATCCCCAATCAAGTCGTATAGCATCGTCAAAGTAGGGCTACCAGAGCAATAGAAGAACGCTACTCAGTCTAGTGTTGACTTGAAATCTGATTTTAACTACATTGATGAGGAAGAAGATGATGAAAGGAAGATAATTTATTAAAAAGTTCAAAATGATGGACGAGATGACACTTAATGATCATAACTTCTTATTTTAAGTTTAATGTTAATTTCATAAATTAATGGAAAATATTATGAATTTTGGAAATATCGATTTCGGATTCAGCCCTAGTTTTAAGTATTCTGTATCGAATACTCTCATATCTAAGGAGCCCTCTCGTTAATCCTTTAGAAACAATAGCAATGTTAACAATTTCAATCCGATTCCATTGGCTTAAAAGATTTACCTGGGATCAGCTGATAAGGCAGATCGAAAGGCTTACTCAAGTCTGTCAAATTCTAGAGCTCCTAGCTAAAACTAATTCTAACAGCATCAGCATTTTGCAAGTATACTTCCGCTAATGGATAAGCTAGATATAAATATATCTATTCAGGATGATGATGATAATGAGAGAACTGATTAGCAGTTTATGACACATAACATTGATGTCTAGCCTGAAAGAAGTAACACCGCAATGAGTGATTTGAGTATTTTAGTTCCTATCAATCAAAGACCCAGCAGAAGTAACTATTTCATCCTTGATAATTAATGCTAGGTATTTTGAGTTCAGACAAGAAGTAAAAGACTAATGCATCTATAAAAAAGAATCGATTGTCATTAAATGCAACTCAACAGATGATGCCCCCTAAACCACCTTCCAGAAAAGAAACTAATCGAATTGATAATGAAGCAATTTAAATTGCTTAGCAGGAACATATTTAAGCTTTAAGAGCAAAAATAGTAACTTATATGGATAATTTAATCTTTTGTGATTTTAGGCTGATTTATAATCAAAGAAAGGCACTGAGCTTAAGAATGGTATATAGAAAGATGAACATTTTTACTCGAATTTGACTGACCTTACCAATTAAGAACTCAAAACTTACTTAATTAATTAAATATATGACATCAGAGAGACAAGAAAGTCATTCTTTGAATCATCACAAAAAATAAAGTAGCTCTTACACGATCTGTAGACTGGGAAGGATTACTCCTAACTTAGAGAGAAGTTGGTTAATATGATTGAAAGCCGATACACCTAGATGAATTTTGAACTGCTCTATATAGAAACAAAGAGAGATCTAGAGAGGCTAAATCTTTAATAAGCACATCTTAAGCACAAAACTGAACAGCTTCAGCAATTGGCTTTTGGGAATGCCAACATGTCTAAAGAATACAAGTTAAAGCTTCAAAGATAAACAGATATAAACTCAAAGCAGCAGAAGACTATTCTGACTTAGAACAAGATAAACTCAGAGAAGTCCTTGAAAGTAGAGTCTTTATTACAATCAGTATTTACTCTAACGTAGGAGGAGGAAGTACTTAAAACATCGAAATTCAAGGAGGAAATCGTACTTAAAAGAACGATCAACTTTTTACTGAGAGAAAACTTTGAGTTAAAGAAACACTGCAGAATCAAGGATAGCTTTCTAGAGTCAGCTTAAAGCGAAATCAATAGACTGAAGACTAAAGTCAATAGACTCATGTTAAAGATAGAGGAGGATAATAATATAAATAGAAATGTCAACAATAATGTTGGTAGCAACATTGCAAATAGTTCACATACTCAAAGTGGCTTTAAAAAAAAGTTTGGAAATACTATTGGAGGGGGCTAGAAATTTGTTAACGTGTAAAGTGCTGCATCTCGTATCCAAAATGATATTGCTCACATTTTATAATCATAAAAGATTTTTATTGATGGCTAAGTTTAATCTAACTTGAGAGCGCCCTCGCCAGGTTAAATAATTGGCAATTCTCCTAAAGGCAACAATATGTTGAACAACTAACTCCTCTTGGGCTAGAATTCCTCTCACAAATCTAATTAAAATAGTGCTGGAAGTATGTTTGATTTTGAGATATTATCAACTGGAAATGCTTTTCATGGGACAATTGAAGCTGCGGCTGGAGACATTTAAAAGCCTACATCTAGACTACTCTCTCATTTTTAGGATGACGATTTAAATGGGGCAAGGGTTTTATCAAGGATGATTATTGATAACTTTGATTTGGATTACAGAATAAAACTTATGATGGATAATAGGGAACAAGATATGAATGAAGAGTTAGTTGATGGTTCTAAGTAAAAGTTTATTGAAGTTACAATGAGCTGTCAGCCACTGATTCACAAAGAAAGAGTTGATTTCCTTGCTAAGAATTATCTCTCATTCAAAAGACTGGGAGAGCGATTAAATAGTATTGTGAAAATTATTGTAAGCTAATTGCTTTAAATTTTAATTACTGTGTAGCTTTAAAACTTGAAGAATGTTAGCATCTATAAATTCATTACTAGGATTCGAGAAGAGTTACCTAATATTTTGCAATGCCAAAGATGCACACTTTGGGCTAAGGATCCAGTAAGTATTAATATGAGGCTATAATTCTATATAATAGACATTGAATGAGTTATACACCTATATTGACAATAATAAAGAAATTAGAATGGGTAGCGTAGATGATATAGTAGGCTATGTGCTAAATAATTAATAGGATTTGATAACTGCAGATCTCTAGAAATACATTCAATACTATCAAACTATTTCCTCCTTCTCCGTTGAAGAAAAATTTTTTGGAAATACTGCAAGAAAAAGCGCAATATTGTTACCGGTTAAAGACTATGATACAGGAATGCCTTTGGGAGTTCTTGAGATTGTAAACTCTAACAGTGGTCTGTTTGATCTTGATTGTTAATATATGGCATTTATGATATCAGATTTTGCAGGTTTTGTCATAAATTCACTGAACAATGAGATAAGACGAAGGAAAGCTGAGCATTCTAGGACATTGCTAAATCAATATGCTGTAAAGATTTTCAGTCAAAATAAACTGAGTGACCTGAATAAGATATCATGTGAAGCAATCAAAGAAATGCTCTCAACAGACAAGGTTAAATTTAGCTTTATTTAAGAGAGCTTAGTAGAACTTAATGACTATGAAATCATTGCTTTCTCTTAAAATTATGACCAAAATAACATAGATGAGGAAAAATATATGCCAGAAAAGAAAGACTAGACTTATACAAAGTTTAGAACTAAAAATTACTTCGGAATAATGGGAAATGTTATGCAAACATAATAGCCTACAATTATATGGAATCCTAAAAATGACGATAGATACAATGAGCTCATTGATATGAAAACTGAAAACCCAATGTACTGTTTCCCTATGCTTGACTCAAATAAAGTTACGTCAGAGAGAAGAGTTGTAGGCTGCGTATAATTTGAAAATTTATAACTTAGATTATTGAAAGGAACTTAGACAATCCAATAATAGCAAAATTCTACAAATTCATCTTTGTTAATCGATGAGCATATGAAAGCATTAATGAAAGAATTCAGTTCTTATATAGCTGAAGTATTAAAGATTATTAGAAATCAAAAACTTCTCAAAAAGTTCAAGAGTTTCATTCTAAAAGCCTAGGAACATGAACATGATCATGAGCATGATAATATGCTAACAAACGGAGGACTTTCAAATTAAGTATCAAGACAAGAGTCTAACGCTAGTTATGCATCTCCATCAAAAGAGGAAGAGGAACTCAATTTTAGAATAAGAAATTAAGCTAAGATATAAGAAATCAAAATTGACACCTCCAAAGTTAATAAGCAATTCAATATTAATATCCATAAAGGTAATTTGTCTTCAAAATTTTATCTTAATTAATAGAGGTAATGATGAGTGCAAGACTAATGGATAAGAAAGATGCAGGTGATTCATCCAATAAGCATTCGAATGCTCCTATGCCTCTATAAATGCAACTAGCCCCACAGAATTAATTAACAATCAAGAAAAATGTTGGCTTCTCATTATTGAAATAAATGACAAAAGTTAGTTAGTAAAAGACTAAGGAACAAACTGGGATGCATGCATATGAAAGGAAATCATCAGCAGTAAAAAAGCAAATATCACCAGATAGAACTTCACAAAGATCAAACATGCGGATGAATGAAAACATGCTAAAGAAATCACCCTAGACTTAGAAGAACATATTCACAGTTGTAGATGCTCGTACCAGAAATTAGGTTGAAGAAATAATGAGGCAAACTCAGAATAGTGCCTTTGAAAGCGAATCAATTCAAGATACAGATGAAATTATGAGCTTTCAAAGACTCCCAGACAGCAACAGAAAAGTTAAAATTGTTGATGAAAACTCTAGAATGATGACATCAACTGATTTGATAATTGATAATATCTGAAGGGAAAAAGATAATTAAATAATCTACCAATTATGAATAAAATTTTATCTGATTTGAATTTGCTTTTGCTTACTTATTTGAGATTAACTTAAATGGGGTTTTGGGGTTTTGGGGTTTTGGGG